TTCACACCCTGCAAGCCACCATCCACACGCACCATCCCAAATCAGTTAGCCTGACCTCCCCTTTCTCAGACACTTTCTACAAATGGCTCAACTAGGGATTAAGTTTACCAGCCACGCACCAGCCCTGCGGCTCAGAGAAATTTGTTTTTCTTACATGGAAAACTTGAAAAAAGAAGAGGAAGCATGACTTCTGGCAGAGCAGCCAGGCTGGGGCAAGGCCATGGCAGCTCCATTCCCCTATCAGTAACACAGCAATAACCCACCCTCCAACCCCACGGCTGTTCGCAAGTTGCAAAACATTCGGCGTAGCCAAAGGGTGCATGCGTCCCTCGGGCTCCGCAGTGGCTGGGGGCCATGAAGTCGGAACACTCACTCCCGCCACGGGAGCTGCTGGGGAACAGCACCAGCCCCGACCTGCGTGGGAAAGGAGCTCTGGCTGCCCACCACCTCACCAGGCCCAGGGTGCAGGTTATGCAACTGGAGAAGTAGTATTGCATACTGGGACTTGTAGTCTCGGGGGATCTCATCTTCCTATGTGCTGAATCCCACTCCAGGAAGCCTCCTCGCAGGCCCAGGGTCTCCACTTGCTGTTCAGCACATCAGTTCCCTGATCTCTGCGTGGGAAAGGAGCTCTGGCTGCCCACCACCTCACCAGGCCCAGGGTGCAGGTTATGCAACTGGAGAAGTAGTATTGCATACTGGGACTTGTAGTCTCGGGGGATCTCATCTTCCTATGTGCTGAATCCCACTCCAGGAAGCCTCCTCGCAGGCCCAGGGTCTCCACTTGCTGTTCAGCACATCAGTTCCCTGATCTTTCGCTGTAGGAGTTGCACTCCAGAACTTTGCTCCCGAGCCGGTTGTGCTCCCAAAGCTGCCTCTGCATTTCTGTCTGCCAGCGGACAGCGGGCCCAGCCCTCCCTCTCCCGGCAGCCCCCACGGCCGGGTGGACAGACGGCAGTCGGAGCACTGCCGGCCCTCCAGCAGCCTTGGCAGGGCTCAGGTTGTTCCCGGGCCACAGGGTGAGCAGTACAAACCCCACTGGGCTGCCTTCCGCACAGGTGGGGCGAAGCAGCAGGGTACCGTGGTTTCAGAATACTTTAGGCTCCGTAACAGGCACAGATTTTTCCAGAGTTCAACAGCTGGCATTTCTAGGAGCGAGAGTAACTTCTAAAAAAGTGGGTGTTGGAAGACACTTTGTAGAAATCTTTCCTGCAGACCAGGTCTTCTGAGTATGCTCAGTTCAATTTAAAAATTCATAGAATCATAGAATCATTGTGGTTGGAAGAGACCTCAAAGATCATCAAGTCTAATCGTAAAACTGAATCTAAAAGCAGCATTGCTTCAGTTTCTCAAGTTTCAGTACCAATTTATGTTTTACAGCCAGGGCTTATCTTTCCATAGGGCTTTCTCCCACTAGGAAGCTTCACACCAGTGAGGAAAACACCAGCTCCACAGTAACGCATCCTACTGCCACACGCTAAATCCCAGTACTTACTCCTATTCTGTTTCAGTGGTGCAATTCCTTGAGAACAGAAGAGGTAAGTAAATCCCAACTGCAGTGACGTCTGTCCAGCGTCCTCTGGAAAACAGTGAGTCAGACCCGTAAAAATGGGAAAGAAGTCCAAGACTAGAAAAAGTATATGCGGGGACAAACCAGCAGGCTAGCATTGTGAACACCGCTCCTCACCAACAGCCGCTGGTAGTATGACTGTCTTTTATGTAATTTAAATTACAAATGGAGTTCAAGAGACTTACTGATAAAAATATGTATCACAGTACATGCTACCTGTCAGCTGATTCTGATCTCTTTTCTGTTCAAACACTTCCCCTGTTATTTTTTCTCTGTAATACATAAAACGTCGTTATTGCAAAATCCAAACACTGTTCAAAGAATTTTTTTTCTGTTTTTCCAGTCCATTCCTATTTACAGTCTAGTGAAAACTGTTTAAAGTGCAATTCTGTCTGTCTTTCCAGTCGACATTCTTTCCATTCCAGTCCCGCTTCCTGCAGTTTCCTCGGGTGGCTTTTGCTTTGCACCACAATTGTCTGAATTAAGATGTAATGCTCTCAGTTGAAACAGGGTTTGCAAACACAGTTTAAAACATTGGATCCCCCAAACAACTGTCTGAAGGCACTGGGAAAAACTGAGTTTTGCCATTAGCTGACACCACTCCAAGAAGTCAAAGGACCATCCAGGAATCAGAGGGCAGTAGTGCTGACATCAAGGCACTTGACAATTGAGCAATGGTTTACAAAGTGTTAATCAGCTAAAGGTTGCAGCGAGCATTTTGGAGACAGCTCAGAAAAACAGAGCTGTAAATAGAGGTGAAGGCTCGGAAACAGAAGACGGTGAGGTGGGTTGGATACAGAAGGGCCATGGGCAGTGCAAGGATTCAAATACATGAATGAAAACATTTAAGGGCTGGAAGGACACAATCTGGAAGCAGTGGAGGGTGAGGAAGAGAAGGCTGCAGCAGTGAAAATATTCCAGGAATGGTGGAAACGGGGTAAGGGAACCAGGATTTATTAACAGGACTTTCCTAGTATGCACATTACTCTTCCATTACACAATATTTAGACCTTTGCTCATGCAATTCAAACAAACTCCAAGTTTGTAAACCCCTTATCAAGCCCGTAGGAGTCTCTTGGAATCCTTGTGATAGAGAAGGTATTGGTGCCTCACACAGCTCTAAGGACACTGTGGCACTGTGTGGATCTTGGCACAAGATAAAATAGAAAATATCAGGAGGGAAGTGTGTGTGGTTGTCTGTATCTATGGCAAGCATTAGCTCTGGAACAGCCCAGGATCTCTCATGCCCTCTCCAAGTCTGAATCCTGTCAGTGGAAATGAGGCTTTCTTCCTCATCAGACAGAAAATGCTCCTTTCTCCCAAGTCAGCCAGGTTGTCACCAAGGTCTGTGTTCTGGCTGTGGGCCATGGTGCCACAGGACACCTGCTCCTCAGCCCGGGTCTCCACCCTCAGTCCTGGCAGTGCATGAGCACACACCGGCATAACACCAGAAATTTTACAGCTGACACTGAACTGTTGCCAGAAGCAAGAGCAATCTAGCTGTTATAGCTCTGCTTTGTCCATGATGGGAACCATTTCTGCGTAGCCCTTTGATGGGCATCCTCCACTGCAGCCCCCACATGAGCTGACCATTTCTTAGGACAAGTCTCTCCATGCTCCCCACAGACAGAGCACTCTGTTGGGAGGATCCTGGTATATGGAGCCAAGGGGCTAGCAGGAGGGCACAGCACCTTGACAACTACACTCCACTCTTCCCAAAGCTCTGAGCTGCAGAACTACAACAGAAAAGGGACACAACACCGGAGCATTCATTTACAGGATGTATTTATTACACTGTAAAAAGTCCATTGGATTTGTAGCCATTTGCTCTATATGTACACTGGTTGTACTCCCACCCCAACCGTAGGTTCCTCAGTACAGTATACACTGGTTGGAGTTCCACCCATGCCCCTCCCAGTCACCAGTGGGATTTCCGAGATTGATATTATTGATAATTTAGCCAGCTAATTGAGAGAGGAGGAAGAACGGAGATGCAGCGCTTGCGAGGCAGCCAGCTCTGCTCTGGGCATGAGCGAGTGGAAGAGTAGGACATCCTTGCTGCAAGGCAGAAGCAGAAGTGTGACTACAGGTCCTCAGCTGCAGGGGTGTTCTAGGTGGAGTAGGAGGTGGGCTCCCAACAACTAGAAGATGCAGAAGGGTGCAATCTCTGCAAAGCTTCAAAGAGAAAGCACAGCAGATTTGCTGGGTGTCAAGTGCCACAGATCCCCACATCTTCTCTAGCTGAAGAGGATGTTCTAAGGAATGGGGCTGGACACCAAGAGACCAGTGTAGCGAGTGGTGGTCAACACAGCACTGCTGTGCACCCCGGGGGAGTGGGTCCCCAAGTGCTGTTTGAGACATGGCCACAGTGCTCTGCTCTCAGCTCAAGGGACTCTGCATTTCCTTCTCACCTGCTCAACTAGGCAAAGCCTTCTGAATTTGCTCTCTCCAACCAGAAAGCCTGGTTACATTTACAGAAGGGAGGAAAGCAGCGCTGCCCCCACCAGACTCCCCTGCTGCCTACTCTGTATCTGGCATGGGGATTGCTGCCATCCATGTTGCAGAAGGAAAGCGTGTGGCTACAGCACACAAGAAGCCCTATGTAGCAAGCTGGGAGCTGCACTGTAACCAATCCACATTTCTACACAAAATTCTCAACCTCCTGAACCCAGGCATGCCCAGAGCCCAAACAAAGCAGTGTGAGCAGAAGCACGGGCACGAAAGCTAGGGAATGGCTGGGGAATTGTCCAGGGACTGGACTGAATAATCTGAGAGGCAGTCCTGTACTGCAGCCCCTCTTTGGTGTGACATCAAAGACTTTTCCCTCTTCACCAGATGAACTGGTGGCAGCTTGGTCCCAGGCTGCTGGGTGTGGGTGTTGCCTGGTCCCTGAGATTGTGAAGGCAGGAAGGAAATAGGACAGTGGAACTGGGCACTCCTCCAAGAAAAGGGGGATTTCTAGGCAGATTTCTAGGTGGTTGCCACAAGAAGGGAGCAGAATGTGATGTGCTCCAGGGGGATTGTGGCAGCAGCCCTTCTGCTCAGGTTAGCATCATCTTCTAAAACAAACATGCCCGCTACCAGAGAACATTTGGCCAGCATCCTCCACCCACAGAGCTTCCTCAGCAGACAGTTCTCAGACACCTTCAAACTAATTGACTTCAGAGGTTGTCATGGGGTCAGTGGGCCGTGGACCAGCTAAGAGAGGAACAGGAGAGGTGGCTTCAATTAGGGCTGGGTTGAGAATGATTGGAAGAGTCATAGGTGGCACCCCAACCTGCAAGGGAGAGGCAAGAGGCTGCAAGATGAGTGGTGGCTGTGCTGTTGTAGGAGGTACGTCTGTAACGGGGCTTGTCTTTGTTGGAGCTGATGCTGGGAAAGGAGAGACAGAGGTGCTGATGGTGGGTGAGGCAGGTACAGTGGCTCTCTCGGACTCTGGAAAAAAGAAGAGACAAAATACATCCTTACACAGGCCCTGACAAAGTCACCTTTCAGCTCAAAGCTAAGCAGACTGAAGATCAACTCAGGGGCCTTTTCAGACTTGCCCCTTTCACATACCTTCATATGAGGCCCTGGGGAGCAGGTGCCAATCACAGGCATTTTGCCCCAACCTCTGCCCACCCCAATAAGCTCAGCAAGAAGGCCACAACCTATCCATTTGGAAGCACAACAGTTCTACAACACCAGAGGCCTGGTCACTGTAGATCATGCTAAACCAAGGAAAAGCAGATCCATGCCACCGTGCTGGGAAGATGATTCCAGAAAGAAGAAAACAGGACTCACCACTGGCACCCAGTTCACAGGGCTTCTCCAAAGGAGCCAGGTGGGTGGCTGGTCTCACATCCCCAGCAGAAGAAGGGGGCAGGGCAGACACTATTGATTTCTGGTGCTGCTGCTCCATTGGTATGCTGGGGACAGGATCTAGGAAAACAAAACAAGCAGTGAATCCACACAGCAGTTTGCTCACTCCTTTTGCCCACCCTCAATTTGCCCTCCTTGTGCCAAGCTCCCACAGCCTCTTGCAACTATTGTTTCATCAGCATCCAGGTACTATGGCAGCTAGGAACTGGATAAGGTGCAAGCACTGGGTCCAAGACCTGTTTTCTTAAGGTTTCTTAGCCCCTTGTACCTTGGATGACTGACTGTTTGAAGAGCTCATCCCGCAGCCTAGGTAAGAAACAGTCAATCCGCTCCCAGGTGATCTCCCAGAGATCTGAGTATCCCGTCCGTGAGTCAGCACTGTGGAATATCCCAGCCGTGTCCATTACAAGCAGCATGTTCTTCAGAGACTCTGGGATGGCCTCCAGCTGTAATCAGAGACACTCCTCAAGACACAGAAAATGGACATATAGTCATGAACAAAAGCTCAAAACAGTGGACGGGCTGCCTTGGAAACAGAGGCCAAGGGGAGAGACCATGGAACAAAATGGTTTTGGAAGGTTTAAAAGGTTAAAACGAAACACCTTTCAAGTTTAGAAGGTTCAAACCAATGAATGGTTGTTCAAAGCACTGCAGCATCACTTTCAGCACCTTACCAGTAAGTCACTGGAGCCAGCATGCATGTATTTGTCCATGAAGTCCAGGATTGTCAGCCACAGGGCAGCAAAAGTGGTCAGTGAGAGCAGTGGGGAGAGATGCTGTAGGAATACCTAGGAAAAAAAAAAACAAACAATCCACAACTACTGTCAACAAATAGTATCAGGGCTGCTGCTCATTGCTTGACAAGCCAATCTTGCAAATCTGGAATTCCCCCTCCTTGTGGCAGGCTAGGAGCATGCATAGGCCCAGCCTGAGGATGCCAGAGGCCTCCACTCTTCTGAGCTGCATATGTAGAGGAGTGGATCTTGTCTCCTTTGCGTGAAGCCAAGTCTGCATCATCACGTCTTCCTCCAGCCCTTCCAGACTCTCTGCCTTAGGTCAGTACTATCAGCTTGTGACATTTGTCATTTCAGCACTAGAAAAGACTGTCTTCCACTAATGTTGGGTGAAATACTTTTCTCTCCACCCTTCATAAAGTCACAAACTCCTTCCTGACAACTTTTCTGAAGGCCAGGATCATCGAGACAGTTCTGGAAAGAAGGCATGTCCCAACAGCAGAAGGTGGTGGAGAAGCCCAGCACTGAAGACAGTCAAACTAGCAAATTGATACCTCTCCAGATCAGAGATGCTGAGAAGCTAATCAGCAAACAGTCTGGTTTTCTTAAGGCAAATGGTTTCCCCTGAGCTTTCAGGTGGCAGAAGCATGCTCACCTTGGAGAGTAGTGTTGAGGCTCTCATCCTAGTTTCTTCCATCCCACCAATGTCAGCTGGGCTGATGTTCTCAAGTAGCTTGGTTAGCAGAGGGAACAGCACCTGTTAGATCAGACACACTGATATTTCAGAGCTGAAAAATGACTGATGAGGTTTGCATAGACAGTCTTACAGGAAGGAGCTGGCTTTTGGGACTGGTGGCTTCTAGGCAGAGAGCATGGGAGAAGCAATGGGAAGTGGAAATGAGCAGATTTGTTTCAATACTCCAAGAGGCTCTGTCAGAATCCCAAGCAGAGAGGAACTTTTCACAGGATCAGAGTAAGGAATGCCTTGTCTGTTGTGGTAATAAACTGCTCAAGAAGATCGTGCTGAAGTAGCACACCATTACACCACTCCTGCACACAGCTTTGCTCTTCATGACAATGCTGTCCTGCCTATGTGCCCAGCCCAGCCAGGAGGTTACCTTGTTGAAGCAGGACTCCCATTCCAGGGCATCCAGGGCTTGCAGGTCATGTACTAGGAGGGCTCGCTGCAAGTAAGTGAGTGCCTGCATCCGTACTGGGCGTCGCGCATCACAGCACAGCCAGGCAATACCTGCAAGAGAGGGATTCAGGGCAAAGCCCACAGGCAAAGTGTCACATCCCTACTTCCCCAGTCTAAGGTAAAAGTCTAATGAAGATCAAACACTCTCTGGGTTTAAAAAAAAAGAAAAAAAAAAGGAAATTAAAAAAAAAGGGAAAAAAAAAAAGATTATACTTGTTCCAGGCCACAGACTGGGAATCTACTGTCAGGTTCAGAAGCAAGCTGGCAGCTAACTCATGCTTTCCGGATTTGATCTAAGTTCTTTTTCAATTACAGCAGACCCTAAAAACAACCTCTGCCTGCTTTCTGCAGTTAGTTCTTGGCTCCTCAGCTTTCCTGAGTGCTGCTATTATTTTAGAAGTGTCTCTGCTCACTCTCATCACAAGGGGATGGCTTTACCCTGTAGCAAAGGACACCAGCAGTTGGACCACAGTGTTCGGGAATCTGCTTCGATTTTCCGCTCTGCTGTCTCTAGATGGCGTTGCTCCTCTGCCCAGGAGCTGTAGATGGTGGCTGCTCGGGTGTGCAAGGTGTGCATGAGGTCCAGGAGCTGCAAGTCAAGCATCCAAGCATCACATTAAGCAACACAAAGGACTTAAATTTTTGAAGCAACTCTGGTCTTTGCTCTTTCCCAAACCAATGCTAAAAGGCTAACAGCTGTTCAAGCCTGCTTCCTCTATGTACATAACCATGTGTAGCCATGGAGATGGTGTCAGGCCCTGCTGTCTGTGCCCTTCCTAAGCGGCCAAGTGCTAGGCATCTTCAGAAAGATTTGTCAGTTCAGTAGCCATATCAATCCCATCTTCGAGGAACAGCATCCCAATCCTGCCAGAAGGAATGGAGCCTTTCCTGGCCAGAGCACTGACTCTCCCAGGCAGAGGCAGAAACCCAGTGATTCAGCTATGCTGTTGAGGGACAAATCTCTGCAACATTTTTAAAAACAAACAAACAAAAAAGCATGAAGCACAAACAAAGCTCCCTCAGAACAGCTCTGTATGGGCAAATGATAGCATTCTAGTCACTCTACTGCTGACCTGAGGCCCAACAGCCTGGCAGTCAGCAGGCCTGTGCCTTCACATCTTTGAAGTACCAGCTGGAGAGAGAAATGACTCCCTCATCCCAGTTCTCTACACTTAAAATCCCAGTGCCTCTGCCCACAGGGCTTTTCCCTCTCCACAAGCTCAGATGCCCTGTCAGACTCCCCACTAATCCTACATGAACCTCATGCCTCCAAATGCCCTTGATCCACATCCATCCTACCTACTACAGTGACTCACAGCTCCAGACCCCACCCTCCTCGCTTTTCAGACTTCTCTCTCCACTGCTATTCTGCTTCTGCCTGTCCAAATTGCAGTCTTCCTCTTTCACTGCAGAACCACACACTGCCACCAGAGCTACCCTCTGCCTTCCAGTGTCCACTAACCCAGGATGCAGCCCCTCCTTGTCCCATGAAAAAGCCCAGTGACTTCCTAGCAAGGCCCCGAGTATGGGAAACGAGAGGAGGAAATCCTTGCTGTACTTACGTCCTGACTAACCTGTAAAGACACAGTGTGGTAGCTGGCAGGGATGCTCTCATCCTCATCCTCATCACTGTGTGTGTGTGCCTGGTGCTGGCTCAAGACCCGTGATCGCCGTGTGGAGCTCTCCTTTGGCTTCTTTTTTAACCGACTAGATTTGCTGTCATACCTGTGGCTCTTCCCTCTCTTCTCCTGGGACTTGTAGCCTAGAATGTGAAAGGCAGAAAGATACCATATACACACTCCACCACAAAGTTTTCTGCCTTTCAACACACACAGCAGCCACCTTTTGATATCCCCAGTGGAGGGCCCTGTGCTGTGAAATTACAACTACCCGCTTGAAGAGGTACCCAGCACCCCTCAGGAACAGCCTTCAGCAATAGCTATTGATTCTGCTACCTCCACATCAGCTCCAGACCTCTGCTCCACCTTGGAGAGAGGAATAAGGCTGCGAGCAGGAGCCAGGACACTTCTCTCACAGCAGACCATTTTCTGAGGGTTGGGGACTCATTCCTAAGAGTATACTTCACACTTCTTGCTGACTGGCCACCCCAAGCCCAACTTGATTGTCAAACCAAGGGCCATCTTACCCCCATTCAAGCTCGCCTCCACAAAGATGCGGATGGTTTTGACACAGAGCTCAAAGTTCTCAGGTGTAACGTGGGCAGCATCTCGCACGATGAAGGACAGGGACTCTACGCACTTCATGAGAGACTTTGTGTCATGTGGGCCCAAATCCAGCCCCACAGTCAGGCTGTACTGGTTGACAAGAGGAGATGGCCCCAGCCTGCTGAGCCCAGCAGTGGATCTGGAGGTGTCAATGTCATCTTTCCCCACCTGCAAGGCACAGCAAAAAGGTAGCAGGAGAGGGTAGCATATCAAGCAGCACCTCATGCACAGGCTGTAAGGGCCTTTCTTCTGAAGTCAACAGATAATGTTTCTGTAGGATCCATGTCCCTTTCTTCCTCATTTGCCTCCAAGTTTTCTCCTCCCCATCTGCATCTCCTCCCCAGCCTCCCTTTACATTGTCAGCTCATCTTGGCTCTCTTTTCTACTGTCTTATTCTTTCTCTCCCTACCACATCCTCTGCCCAGAACCATGCTAGGAGTAGTCTTCAGGCTCCAGAAGCCTATTGGCTACACACCACCAGACATGACATCCACATCTGTCACCGAGCGATGCATCTTGCCTGGCTTCCCATGGTCTGTGTACACCTCTGAATCAGAGGTATAGCCACGGTCCAGGCTCATGTCACTTGGATGGTAGAAGGAGGAGACCTCGCTGTCTGACTGAGCACCTTCAAAACAAAAGGCATGGGTTTTAGGTCAAAGCCAAATCAAGAACTTGGAAGAGTAGCTGTGGATAAGAGAGAAGCAATCCAGATTAGTCAGATCAGCATTAGCTAGGAACCGCCAGCGGGCTCGGCTTCTTCTCCTGTGAGAAGAACAACTATGACAGGAGCATGTACAGAAGACAGCAAGAAAAACAGATCTTTGACACTGTTTCTCCTCTGTAGGTATGTTTAGCTTTCCCCTTCATAGGGAAGGGGCTTTCCATTCTCTGCTATGTCACTTGTCAGCCTAATGGTGCATTTAAAAAGGGTAGGAAATACAATGCTTTGACCCTGGGGGAAGAATCAGATGTACCACACACTGTAAGAACCACTGGAGGTGCTAGGTGCAGCCAAGACAACTCCAAAGGCACAACATGGAATGACATGACACACGTAGGGCCTCTAGGGTCACTCAGCTCCACACTAATACTAGTAAAGTCTTTCTCATGAACGGTAATCTACCTTAGCATGTACCACATCTGTCAGATCTACCTTCCTTGACCTTTAAGGATAACCTTAAATTCCACATGTCCCAAGCAAAAATCTTTGCAAGGGCCAAATTTAAGCTACTGATACAATGATATTTAGAAGCAAAAATTCATTCTCTCCATTATTCAACTTTATCTAGAAACTCACCAGCAGACAGACAGACTTACTGTGAACACAGTGCACCAAACATTTTCAGAAGGAGGTAAAGGGAACTAATGTTCTGATGTGCAAGGTGCCACAGTCAAATAGTTTGCTCAATCAGCAGACAGAAGGGGGGGGGGGGGGCGGAAAAAAGAAAAAAAGATGGGAGAAGACAACCCAGCATTCGCCCAGAAGGCAAAGGCCATAGGGCTTTTGCAGAAACACGTTTCTCCCATCTGACTAGCACAAAGCATCAGGACCTAGCAAGGAAGTTCTAGAAAACCAAAGAGGAAAATGAAAGCTTCTGGAAAAGTCTTTTCTTACTGTTTGCTTTAAAAGTCTGAAGCTGTCAGCCTCAAATACATTGCCAACTAGATATAGTGAAACAGAAACAGTTTGCTGAAGAGACTGTCTTTCTAAAACGGTCAAGAGAAGTGCAAAACAGCAGGACAGTCTTGTGGGAATGGTTCAGGCACTCTGAACCCAAATGGACTTGGAAATAGAATTTTAAAGAGTAACTCCCTTTACAAGAACCTTAAAATGGGGACAGAAAGGAGCCAGTCCCAGAAAAGAAGCAAGTATGACAGGAACAACAGCTGGGTTTACATCACACACCCAAATGAGAGATTAAGGCTGTATCACCCAAGGCACCAGACCACAACCAGCAGAAAATGCTCCTTGGCTAGAGCAAAGACCTTCTACAGCTGCTACAACTGATATCAGTTTTCCTCCCACTGCTCCCTGAGGGACTAGCACCTGGACTGCTGCTCACTGAGTAGGAAGAGATGGCAGAGTAGAGACAGGGACAGACCATGGGATAGGAGTGAACAGCAGGTGCTGGTCTTTAATCTTGCTAATGTAGTTTAATATCAGCTTTGTTTTCTTGCAGTCCCCTTTGCTAATTGAAAAGCCTGAGGAAGCAGCTGCTTATCTAACAGGCAGGCATCAGATTTCCTAGCAAAAGCTGGCCTGTCTTACCTGTATCGTTATCTGCCCTTGCTGTAACCTGCAGGGCTGCAGGTGGCTTCACCCCAGACCCAATACACTCCAGGAGGGTGAAGAGCGTGTACCAGTCATCCCCGGAGTGAATGTTGGCAGCGTTGGTCTTCAGGAGTTCATGGAGGCCATAGGCAACCTCATGGCTAACTCTGGACAGCACATTTGGCTTCATCATGAGCAGGATACGTAATGAGAGGAGAACCTGGCCAGAGAAGGAGACAAGAATAACAGACTCTATTATGTACACTCCATTCTCCAGCAAAGTCCCCCTTCATTTATTTAGAGCTACTTAAAACAGCTCTTTGTTGTTACCTGCAGCACAGACAGGTTCAATGTGGGTCCATCCAACAGCAATTGTTTTCCTGTGTTGCCAGGTGTAGCCACAAAACCCCAGTAACTGACTTTCAAAAATCCCTTACCTGTGCACTGATTTCTTCCCGACGAAGGAGTCGAATGGCCAGCCTCAGCAGTCCCACCACTGCCCTCTCCACCAAGAAACAGAACTCCATCGCATGGACACAGAGATGATAAAGGTGGTCTCGGACAGTTTGCCAGACACAGGTCACACGGTCCCTAGCCACAACAAGAAGGAGGGAAAGGGTACAATGAAAGGAAATGAGACAAGCAGGATCCAGCTACCTCTCCCAGAACACCAGACAATCCAGTATTTCTTCATTTCAATGAAAAACTCCAGCTGGGAGATATAAGAAAGAACAGACACATAGAAACAACAAAGCCATCAAATTTCTTATTTACTTCATTACTTGCAAAGCAATCAGGTGGGAGAATTCTGCCTCCAGAGTTTAGTTTATATTCTCCAAATCTCAAGATATCAAGCAGTAATTCACAGGCGAATAGCCCCTCTGTTTGCACATGCAAGAGTGGAATTGCTAAGCCCTGGAATTACAGTCACATGCTGCTTCAGCTGGCAAATCAAGTACATAAGGAACTCATTCCCTGGACCCAGGCAGCAGCTGCAGTAAAGCAGGGACATTTACAGTGAATCTGCATGTATTTCAAGGTCATACCTATTCTCTAGCACAATCCTCAGAAGCATCTCCAAGCAGAAAGCAGCATCCTCTTCATCATATGTATCCTCATCAGGAGTCACAGAGATTAGAGCCTAGAAAAGCCAGGAAATGTTTGTGAATCACAAGCCCCCAAAACTGGGGGACCAGCAAGTGAGGACCAACAGAATGCTTTGAGTCTGGGCAAAACTGCAGTCCACTGTCTGCGGAGGTCACACACAGTCTATCAAAAATGCATTGGATAGAGGTCAAGCTAAATATACGGAAAATAATATTTTTTTTTATTATGCAAGATGCAGTAGGAACTTAAAAGATGTTAAACTCTCATGAAGTCTCAGGTGGAGAGGAATTCTGAAAGCCAGCAGCTTCTTGCTAAGAATACGTGAAGCACAGAAAAGGCTGACACACCTAGGAATGACTACAAATACTGGAACTATTCCTCTCAAGCCATCAGCTTGCATATGAAGGGAGAATTGCTGACATAATAGGGGTAAGAGAAAAATGTTCCCCCACAACTGAGATGGCACACAAAAAGCCTGAGTCACTACTTCTCCATGTGGGCCAGCAACATAGTGGTCTTTGCGTGATCCAAACAGCAAGTTCTGCTTTAGCTGTTCTAAGTACTGTTCTTTCACTTATCATCTTTATTTTGAAACTCAATACCTATTCTTCCGAACCTCTGCAGCAAGCCTTGATAAATAAACCTTTCCTTTGTTTTAGTACAAGTCTCCATAGTGTCATGTGCCCTACTGATGAAGCCAGTGAATTGCAATTACAGCAGCCTGAAGGGAAAGGCACTTGCACTTTACAGAGCCATGGAATCAGGCAACACACACTGCCCCAGCCAACACAGCATCCCTGCAAGGGTCGCACTGCACTATTTGCTTTTGGAAATGGTGAGCAGCAGCCAGATTCGTTCCACACCCTGGAGTGGTCTCAGACTCCACACTAGCCTGAGAAGCCACTACCAGAACCAGGTAAGTAACTATCCTCCCCCAGGGAGGTAAGCTTCTCTAGCTCAAAGGCTAGTGAATCTGGCCTTATTACGTCTCCCACAGCAGCCAGGTACCACACTACCTAGGGGCACACAGTGAAATATTTCTGTACGGCTCTTGCCTCTAAGGTGGCATTTTAGAATGTTCTCATTAGGCACACAGCACACCAGAACAGATGAAAAAGCATAACCTTAAGCTCCTACACAGAGCTGCACATATTTTCAAACACTTACTGTGATCTCCTCAAGGCTTTTAGAATGCATTCCGCAATTTAATGTCTTCTACTACTAAAGCAATTGAGGCTGCCAGCACAGAAGTTACTGTAACAGCTCAACTAATGACTGGTTTCATATCCCAAATAGGTCCAAGACCTCCTCTGGGGACAGAGGAGCTAAGCAAGTACACAGCATATATCCATGACCATGCATAGTGTACTTGTTCTGTCACCAGTCCAATCCCTTGCCCAATATCTCTCTCACCTTCATGAGCTCCTGGAGGGATTCAAGTTGGAGGAATTTGCTTTCTGTGATCAACTTCTCAGGATCACATTGCTGCAAAAGACAGAAAAGAGGACTGTGCATCGAGGGGATGGGGAAGGCATTCCCAGGAGGGATACAGATAGCAGCTTTAACACAATTACCTGGAGGAAAACTCCCACCAGCTAGTTCATTCCTTTAACATCAATTACCTTTAACAGACCTGATCTGTGCTAGACAGATTTCAACAGGTAACTCCTCTGTCTACACACTGCTCAAACCCCAGGTTCAGATTTTGTTGGCACCACAGGCTTTAACAGCATTTTGGAGAAGATTAGTCATTTGAGAATTTATTAATTTGTCTTCAGTTATAGGCCTGTGATGCCAAGGGTAGATCCCGGCCTCTTGTGGGGAATCGTTCCTGTTTTCATGTGTTACTACATTTGTGCATAGCAGCACATAAGACCTCTTAGCTATCAATGCAGATAGCTCCTCTGTAGTTTCTTACAATTGCCAAGTCCTCTGGAACTGCAATACTGCCTAGAAGCATGCATTATTTATGCTTCTGTTGCCTGTTATCCACATAGTAATGTCACCACAAACAAAAGCAGGTTCTTTTACAGCCTTTATGTTACCTTTATGCATTCCAGAGCCGTTCGCTTTGCCTCCTGTGTTTCTGTAGATGGCCCTCTCATACCAGATTGCTCTGTCCCACTGAGAGTGAGCCAGCTAACAAAACTCAACACTGTAGATTCACCACTGCAAATCAGAAGACACCAGCATCAATGAGAAAACAAGAAATCATATTATTTTCCAGCTTTGATACAAAAAGGACTGCTTAGGCCATCTATGCCACTCACCGGTTAGATGGTGTCTCCTCACGTTGCAGATAGATTTTGCCATTAGGGTCCACAAAGTCTTCGACCTGGAAGACAGACCAGAACATGTATATGATCAATTGTCTACATCTTTGTCGCCTTCCTCCCCAACCTAGTAATTTTTCACTTAGTGATGAAACAGTACACCTAACTGCCAATGCGTATGCAGTCAACCCCAGCTCTTCACCCCCTCACCCCTTAAGTGTCACCCCCATCTGGCAATACCAATGCTGCGCTCTAATACTTCGTGCCTATAAGCATGTCCCTCTTCTGCACAACATTCAAAATCTGTTCAAGTAAAATGAATGCTGGAATTTCTCAAATCCAACAAAACATAAAATGAGAAAAAAGTGAAACCCTATGAAAGAAGTTGGAGCCTGCACATAACTCAAACACTACACCCTTTGCAGGATTTCTAGCTCTGTACACACTTTACCAAAGCCAGCCCTTTGCAAGAGCGCTCTCTTCCTCTTTGAACTGGTTCTATGAAAAGCCAGCTTCCCACTCCCCTACTCTTCAATTACCCCTGGGCTGGCTATTATTACCTCCACCATGGCCTTGGGCAGCAGCTCTGCTCGGAAAAGCTGTAGCATGGCCTCCATGATGTTTTTCCAGCCCTCCCGCAGAATGTCACCATGGCGGTGGGCCAAGTGAAACACAGTCTTTGCTGCAATATGGGCCTTGGGATTACTTCCAAAAACAGTGGGCAGGTTCTCAATAGACTGCAGGAAAGAAGAGGGGGTGGCAATCAGTCAGCAAGAGATGTTTTCTTTTCAAGACAAATTAGGGCAGACTGTTCAGAACTGGTTATGGGAAAGACCACAATTCTGTGTACGATGCTTGGATAACTCTGCAGCTCATATTCCCTTTGCACAAAAACAAGGACAAGATGGCTTACCTGATACAAGCTGAATCACTGAACCACCTAGACATAAGCTCTCCAAGAACAACAACAATATAGAACCTTTTGAAAGTGCTTGCTTGCTGAAAACTCACTAACACTAATGTATTCTGCTATGAGAACTCATTCTAGGATCAAAGCCTTCTACAAAAAGTACCACATGTCCTTCGGAAGCAGCAATTACTCCGCTCTACCGTTAGAGAGGGAAGCTATGGTCAAAAGCATTACTGAGTTGCAAAGCTACTCCTACCACTACTTAACAGCAAGACTCAAAGTAAGAGTGATGAACCCAGATATGCAATCTCTGCCAATAATTGCTGGATCACAGTTCCTCATAATCTGTTCAACGCACTCACAGCTTTTCAAAACACAAAAAGTGTGCTAAGTCGTCAAAACCAACGAAATATACTCTGCCAAAACAAGAAAAAAACCCCAGCAACCATGTGAGCTAGTATCAGACACGTAACATGCTCCATGTTTCTACAGTTACTTAAGCTCATTGCAATGTTCCTTTTGACAAGAGATGGGCTTTGCCATTCTCTTGCTTCTGTGGACAAAACCCATAGTTACTCCTTCATCAAAAAAGGGGAGAAAAGGCAGGAGATAAGATGGATTGAAAATGTGGCTCTTCCAATGTCAGACCTAAAGTTCAGAAAAACTAGCTCTTGCTTCAGCCAGACTGCTGGCAAAACTATTATCAAAACGGGCTTTTGATCTAGAGGTGAACTCCATTAGAAGTGCCAATCTGGAAGTCTGGCAGAAACATGACAACCAATTTGGTTTTTCCATTGTTGCTATGGGGAAACCACATGAATGCATACACCACTGAAGTCTCAGAGTGCGAACAGCAATATGCCTGGTTTCACACTGTGGCAACGAGTCACAGCCACCAAATTAAAACACAGAGCAGTTTTGCTACTACTTATACACTAAGTCAGTATGAGTCTTAACTGTGGATCAAGAAGTGGGGCACTTGCTCTTCTTAAATCACTTAATCCCCCTCCATGTTCCTTTCCATTCCTCTTCTTTCAACCAAAGTGGCCATGCATAGCAAATGCAGTGCTTGGAGAGGATGCCTGATCACCAGGATAATCTGACCTGGAAAGTGACTAGCAGCTAAGTGGCACTTTGGTGTTCTTCCCTTCTTTCAAAGGGTTGCTCTTTGTTTTGTCTCCTCAGTCCCTGAAAACACAGCTCCTCCTTCTCCCCTTCCACCAGACTGTCTCTCAAATATTTGTTCAGTTGACATATTCCACTACTGTCTCCAAGCCTTACAGGAATTTAGGACAGTAGAAAGTAATTGGTGTACTTGGAATCTGGCCAAAGATAAGAACTCACAGCCTTCTTCAAATCCAGAAGTCCCTGATTCTATGTCACCACCAAAAGACATGCTTGCTTAATTTACACAGACCTCGGACTGCTCCGGGTTTCAGTCTCACAACTAGATGGGACGCAGCTGGCAATAGCTGGTGCCTCGGAGGGCTTAGTCTAGTTGCTTTTACTGCGTAAATCTGTGTCAAACAGTTGTTTCATGGCAGACATTCCTCTGCTTGTGTTATCTATCGGTAGTCTCAAGGTCTGGTATGCCTGGAGAGGATCAAGTATTTCAACTTTAATGTTGCAAGCTGTGGAGGAAGAGGGAACCTAAAACAACCCCACAGCTCGGGATATCTTTGTCTTTTAATGGTCAACTTGGTACTTTTTCACTGCTACCAATGCCAGAATGCATGCGATACAAAACACCCTGTTCAAACAATTCTATTTCCCCGCAGCCCAATTCCATGAACTGGATTAATTTGCAGGACTGTTCCCTTTCTGCTATCCCTTCCAGGGATTTAAAAAAAAGAAAAAAAGAAAGAAAAAAAAATCATCTGTCTTAGCCTTTTTACTCCAATGCCTTGAATGATCTTGTTTCCCTTTTTTGTATGTGTGGCAAGTCTTTTCTCCTCAGTGTGGGTCTTGCACTCGTTCTCCAAGCAACGCTGTGAGATTCTTTGCAAGTTCTGACCCTTTAAAGGAGTTGCTGTCATCTTCTCCTTAGCACAAAGCATGGTCTGCCACACACTGTCTATCAAACACCTTGGGGAAAAACAGGTTGATGCTGTAACACACAAACAGATTTGGGCAAAAAAAGCTTACACCAACCACTGTACCTTGAATTTATTCTCACAGTACAATCCACGGAAACAATCTTTAGGGTTTGCCAAAAGTGGGGCTAACAGCCAATTTTATTACCAGACTCCACACACCAACTGACAATTCAAAACATTTGTTTTTCTAATCCCTTCATGCTGGGTGGACGCACAGCCCCTACGCTTTGGAAGAACAGCTCACAAAATAGTCCCTCTTGGCACCACATAAGCTCTATAACTAAATATTCAATAGCTGAAATGGATAAACTTGCTTAGGATCATGGATGTTCACTCTCTTGATCACAGGGAGATCTACGTCTCCCAAGATCAAGTAGGTGGAATAAACACTTCTACATCATAGCATTCTGCTCTGCACAAACTGCCACTTGTGAGTGTGAGCGAGGAGAAGGAAATTTGTGTATTTGAATGTGTCCTACAAAGTCCTACTTCACTACACACTTATCATTGCATCCTCTGGAAAACTCTGGGCAGGGGCTGATAGATACCTACAGATACTGTGATAACTAAAATGGGCAGATATTACTGGTTAACAGAGGAAGAGAGGTCCGATGTACTAAAAGCCATGCTTCTTTCCCCTCCTTGCAAACTTACCTCGCTGCTGAGGGCTGTAAACTTGCAGAGAGAAATTATGAGATTGTCAAACACATCACTAAGGCCATAGTGAGCAGAAATCATTGCACATTTCCTGGGGAAAGAAGGAAACAGAAAATAATGTAATAACTCAGCACAGACAAGTCTGTCTACAGGACAGCAAGTCAGAGAGTCTCTCTGTTGACATTTTAGACCTTCCTCTCCACCCACTCATAATGAATGCTGATGTACAGAAGTCTATTATTATCCCTCAATCTCAATCCTCATCCATAGATCTTGATATTTGTCTGTGCTGATGCAAGGATCGCTTTCAAAAAATGAGTCTAAACAGAGACCATTTGCACCTGAGCCAATATACCTAATTTCCTGTCTTGACATAAGAGAGAGTTGCCGAGATTGGTGGTAGTGTTGAAGGTCTAGTTTCCAAGAGATCACAGCTACAGCAGTATACTAACAGAGCTTTAAAACTATGTTTAAGGCATCATTTGGTCTGAATCTAAGCATCACCAAAGATCGTTCCAACACAGTTTCTCACAGATAGCAAGTTTTTTGAATACTGGCCATCTGGGAAAGAAGGAAAAAAAAAAAAAAAATCCCCCATCCCATTCAGACACAGCTATGGCCTCACACACGAGAGGTTTTGTTCATATACAGGGATTTTGCCAGCATCACTGTGCAAGTTGAGTGACTTTTTCTCCTCACTTCTAAGCAGCATGGCTATGTCAGTAGGTCTTTTAAATGTAACCAGGTTGGAGTTTAAAAATACATACCCCAGGCACTTCGATTTATTACAACACAGCAGTCAAGCCAAACAGTGAGCAGCAACCAAGAGAGGCCAAGATGTGATGAATCAATACAAATAACAGAACAAAACTAGAGGACCGTAGGTCACAATAAAGTGCTTTTCAACTGCTAGGAAAAGGAACAGTTGATGTTCACTGTGATGTCTCTAGCAGGTAACAGGAGACAATGGCCACACTTTAACTCTTCTGGGTCTTCATGAATGCAAGAGTTACCTGAAACCGGAGATAGCCTTCTGGATGATTGTTTCTTCCAAGCTCTTGTCAAAGACATAAGAAAGTGCTGCAATGGTTGGTCCCCATGTCATGGTGAAGAGATCATGGTCGTAGCTTCCAGGAGGCACGTGGAGAAATATTCCCTCGTCAGTGGCACCACGATGTAGCAGGACATTCCAGATATAGTTTTCCTTCACCAGGCCCGTCTGTTCTTCTGGCATCACTATCTCATCATTTCTAAAAGGGAGGAAGGCAGAAAGGTTGAATTTTTCATTCTGAGCCAAACCTAACATTTACACAGTGCCTTTCATTAAATGGTCTCAAAGCTAAGCAATACCTACTCTGGAGTGATTTTGCCACCTCCTGAAACATTCTATTTTCCTAGGCCTGCCTGCTTCCTTTGCCCCTCTTTGATATCCTGGATATCAAGTCTGGTGGCTCTCAGCAGCAACTGTGTAAGGATAGTATTGAAGAAGCAGCTACCTAACACTACAAGTGCAAAATGAAACACATACTGCAGTTAAATGATGGGAAATTTTGGACAGCACATTGGCATAACTTCACCCCCTCCATCCCAACTCTCTCCCTCTTTGAGTGCTCTGCATATCCCATTACTCCCAGATAAAAAAAAAAAAACCAAAACACACCATTAAATTGTTATACCACTGCAGTCAATAGTAGTCATGAGTACCTTTGTATAAGAATAATGCAAATATTCATATTATGCCAAAATAAAGTATCAGAAAACCAAGTAGTACAAATCTAAAGATAAAACAAGAAACCAAATGTATGATGGGTGATTCATAACCAAAGTACCACAGCTCCATACTCTAACTGGATTAAAGCTATATAATAATAAAGCAATTATGATTAATACCAAGTAGTACTTGCAATCCTAGGTTAAAATATATCAAGCCTAAATACATACTCCCTAGACTTCGGTAACATTGCAAAAGAGACAGCCCTCTGCAAATGACCAACTAATTGAACAAGAGTCTCAAATCTACTAAGAATAGTAGATTGCAGCCAATCTGAAAAGTAGAGGTCTTTCTGCAACAACCAAAAAATAATATGCTTCAATTGCCAAAGAAGCAATTTTCACGTGCTAACAACAACTATAAAAAACCCTCTTGATTTATGCATAAGAAATAAGCTCTTCTCCGTTTTGTGTGCCTGCATATTTTCACAAGAACAATCACTACTGAGATTATATAAGAAAATATGTTTGCAGGCAATGGTGTACTTTTTCTAAGAACCCATGTTTGATTACTATTACCAGAAGCAAGTGAATGAGTTTACTTGGAAAGCCTCAGGAAATTAAATAGGGCTCAAAAGTGAAATGCTGAGATCCTGAAGAGATCATGCAGTACTCTGTACAGATTACAGTCTGATTTCCGGGCCCGCCCCCCCTGCAATAATACAAAGAAAACAATTTCAACTATGACACTGGGGCAATCTTTCTGAGATGGAGCAATACTGAAATGATATACCGATTGTTTCAGCCACAGAACATATGTAAAAAGCTGAAGTATCTGATGAAGCGAGGATAAAGGGGAACAGACTGGGACAGAGGCACTAGATAACGGAAAGATATGAGGATATTCTATGGGTAGTAATCAGAACATTAAGAACACCCTCAGGGGAGAGAGGCCAATCAAAACTAGCGCTCCCTTTGAAATTTAGAGCTACCTCTTGAAGAATTTCTAGATATTCAGTACAGGCAGCATCCCCACCTTCCCAGAGAAGGCTCAAAAGGGAGGGTCAACATAATCATGCTGCTCTGCTTCCAGCTGAAGCCACTGCCTGCCATTGCAGATTGAAACCAGCTGAGAGTCAAGAGTTGCATCCTGTCTCCTCAGAGATGTAATCCTCTCACCTTCAAATTGGCTAGGCCTGGATTTACTGATAGACTAGATTTCTGAGCTATTATTAAAGCTCCCTGCCCAGAGCTAGTCTGTGCACAAAAGGGCCTCAGCCACCAGGAATTCTCCTCAGTGTGCCAAGAGCTTCAGGGGTGGCAGAAGAGACTGGTGCAGACAGCAGCCTCTTCATACGTAGAGCACAAAAGCAGAACATATGAAACTGAGATCTGGACATGTCAGGGCACCAGTGCTGTCCTGGGGACGAGATACTATCTCTAGCACTACATAAAAAGTTCTAAAGAAGTCTAAAGGCCTGGTCTGGAGAACAGAGCCTTCTTAAATACAGCATTTCACATATGCTGGTCTTGCTCAGCCCTTCTTTTGCATGTTGATAGAAGTAACGTATTTTTTAACGTTAGTTTAACCTCTGTGGATTCAAATACCATGGCAAGAATTCAAAGACACAAATCCAGTGCAATCACTGTGACAGGCTTGTTATCACAGCCCCATATGGAGATGGAAGTTGGTCTAAGGCAAACAGACACATGATCGGTGAGTCTCCGTACTCTCCAGAGGTCTCAGAGACCAAACAACTCTAGTTTGCTCTCTGCATACAAGGAGATGATAGGTTGATTCTTACTTGATGGCATGGTACATGTCTTCCAGTATGTCCTGTTCAAAGTCTTTGCCTCCATTCACACCTTTCAGATTTTTCCGAAACTCCTGAAAAAAAGTTACAACGTTAATTCCTAATACCTCCAGCTTTAACTGCTTCCTAGGATCAGTATTCCACTTGTTTTTCATGGGACCAGAAGGAGATTTTCCTGCATTCTTCACATGTAGCCTTGAAGTTCAAAGACTAAATGCTATTCTTAGCAGCAGTAGTATGCAGCAACCCCTGTCTCTGCTGACAAGGGAAGAACAGACACACAACATAACACATGCTTAGCTGAGGCTGGACATCAGAATGACAGTCTGTACCACTGCACTGACACTCACAGGACTTCAACTCTCTAGAAGCCCACAGCGGTTCAACAATCTCCTCATTCTTACCATGTCTTAGGATACAGTTTGCTCATACACACACAAGCCTCTTGCCAAGTTTGTCAAGTTGTCTGTTAAGCTCATATTACTTCAGACTGCCCCTTGCTCACAGCTCCCCTCTTGAACTGTACTCAACTTTAGTCCTGCACACCAGCTTATTGTGTACATGAGTGATGAATGCCAGGGAAAAAAAGAGCATGACACTGAGATAAAAATAGGTACTATATTGCTATCAAAACCAGAGAAGACAGGTGCCTACACTGCTAACACCCACCTCCAGAGTCATTGGGACGTTCTGCTTACGGACATTATGGTTGTGCTGGTCAGTGTTCAGCATAATAACTGCATAGGCCAGGGCAAAGCAGGCATCACTATTAGCAAACGGGGACCCATTTGATTTCTGAAAGGTAAATGTAGGCACAAATTAGTCCTACAGGAACAGCGATACCAGTGACCCAAGACAGCCTTTTTCCTATCCACGGTACCAAATCATTTCTGGGACAAACAAAAACCCCAGGTTGTGGCTCCAGCTTCCAAAAAGTACCCCGGAAATCTATGTGTTACTGCCATCTCCTACAAAACAACACCTGCTGCCTGCAGGGCACAGTAAGCTTATACAGGCAGTTTGATCCAACATGTCCATCATGGCAATCAGATGCACAAGAAAGAATGCAGTTTTGAACTTTCTGCCCACCAAGTACACACCCTCCAATGTTCTGTGAAGGCTTCCAACAGTCTCTGGATTACGGGTGCCTCTCCCGGTAATCTGAAGGCCTCTAGATAAAGTCGTAAAGCTTCATCCAGCCTTAAACCTTGGAAGCTGAAAGTCCTGCAAGAAGAATGAAATGTAATGAGAAACTCAAACAGGACAGAAAAGGTAGGAGAAACTTACTGACTACAATCTTGTTTGTTTCAGCATCAGAATAGCAGATTTCATACCGAACAGACAGTAAAGAGGGGAGGGTGAAGAGAGAAGAAATATACCATGAACAAGCAAAAAACAAAACAGTCAGCAATCCTACAGGTGATTATGTATATAATCATCTCTCCAGTCCTCACAGTGACTGACAGTACTGAAAGGAGCTCAAGTATCATACTATTATATGTATCTAAGGTGTTACCACATGCAAGAGATGCATAGAATTAAGGCATGCTGGTACACAGAGAACCAAGCGATACAAATCCAATGCCTCCAGGAACTACTGTTCTACTGCTTTTTTTTAATCACTGCACTCTTAACTTTCACCCCTTTCTGATTAAAGAGATACAAGAAAGATACTCACCCAACAAAGCTTTCCAGCAAGTCTATGTTCTTACGGTCACTCACAAATTCCCCAATCATCTTTTTGTCCAGGCGAGGATTGTCCCGTAGCCACCTGGCCACCTCATTGTTGTCAATGGGGGTGGCAAGAAGATTCTTCTCTTGAAGAAACTGTATCCCTTTCTTCGGCTTTTGGTTGAACTGCTCTGTGCCGGTTATCAGGAGCTGAAGGAGATATTCTGATAACTACAAGCTTGAAGTGCATTTCTTACTTTAGATTGTTCTTGCCATTTGAACAAAAAGCAAAGTATAAAACAGATCAGCCTCAGCATGATCAAATTACTGTGTAATCCAGCAAGAAGGTTAATCAAGGCCAGGAAACCTGCATTCATCACAAGATTGCCAGCAAGGATAAGGAAAAGGTGGAGGTACTTAATGTCTTCTTTGCCTCAGTCTTTAATAGCCAGACCAGTTATTCTCAGGGCAGCCAGTCCTCTGAGCCGGACAACAGGGATGGGGAACAGAATAATCCCCCCTTTATCCAGGAGGAAGCAGTTAGCGATCTGCTGCTCCACCTACACATGAACAAGCCATGGGGCCAGATGGGATTCACTTGAGGATACTGAAGGAGGTGGTGGATGTGCTTGACAAGCCAATCTCCACCGTCTTACAGCACTCCTG